AACGCCTGGCTATTTTTTGGTTGCAGCCATCATTGTTGTTTGGCGGGCCCAGGCTGGATTCGAACCCACCACCTTAGGTGTATGTGGCTGGCGCCTTAGCCACCTGAGCCACACAGGTGCCGAGCCGTGTTTTTCTTTTTTTGAGACAGAGTCTTGCTTTGTCTCCCTTGGTAGAGTACTGTGGCATCACAGCTCACAGCAACCTGAAACTCTTGGGCTCAAGTGATTCTCTTGCCTCAGCCTCCTGAGTAGCTGGGACTACAGGTGTCCACCACAACACCTGGCTATTTTTAGAGATGGGGTCTTGCTCTGGCTGGTCACGAACCTGTGAGCCCAGGCATTCCACCCATCTTGGCCTCCCAGAATACTAGGATTACCGGTGTGAGCCACTATGCGTGGCCTGAAATGTTTTTCTTGTGCACATTCTGGTCCCTGAAACATGGCATCAATTTACCTGCATACTCATAGGTACCAATTTCTCCATTTCATCAGGAAACCATCAATACTGGCCCTTTTGTGATGCGTTCCACGTGTCGGAGATGTGGTGGCCGTGGCTCCATCATTATATCTCCCTGTGTGGTCTGCAGGGGAGCAGGACAAGCCAAGCAGAAGAAGCGAGTAGTGATCCCTGTGCCTGCAGGTGAGCTCAAGGGTTCTCTTTGTCCATGGGCTTGCTTGGATAGGGCTGAGGTTTTATGCCCCGTGTGACTTGGCTGTTGGTAGAAGCTGTGGTTGAGGCCTTGGAGCCCCAGGCTGGAGTAAGACCCTCTTCAGTCGATGATCCAGCAGTGTCCCCATTTGCCACCCCATCTATACCTAGAACATCCTTGCCATCTTTCTCTTTGTGCCAGTTATCCTTAAAATCTGCATTTCACATGTCAAATTATAAGAAACCTGATGTGCACACCCTGCTGTCTGGTGAGGAGCAGCTCCGGACTCCCAGTTTCCTCTCCTCTCTCCCCTCCATCTTCAGTCAGTGGTCCAGCAATGTCCCCATTTGCCACCCCTCTTTCCCTGAACTCTGCATTTGCTGTTCCTGTGTCTGAAATTTTATACTCCAGCTCCTTCCAGTAGTTAAGGTTAAGTAACACTGTTCTTCTTAGAGATGCCAGGGAAGGCTCCCTCCCTGTTTTTTTTTTTTTTTTTGAGACAGAGTTTCACTTATTAACCCTCGGTAGAGTGCTATGAAGTCACAGCTCACAGCAACCTCCAACTCCTTGTGCTTAGGCGATTCTCTTGCCTCAGTCTCCCAAGTAGCTGGGACTACAGGCGCCCACTACAATGCCCAGCTATTGTTTTGTTGCAGTTTGGCTAGGGCTGGGTTTGAACCTACCACCCTCAGTATATGGGGCCGGTGCCCTACTCACTGAGTCACAGGTGCCGCCCCTCCCTGTTATTTTTGTTTAGTTTTTAGAGATAAGGTCTTGCTCTGTTGCCTAGGCTAGAATGCAGTGGCACAATTATAGCTCACTGCAACTTCAAATTACTGGGCTCAAGCAGTTCTCTTGCCTCAGCCTCCCAAGTAGCTGGAACTATAGGCATCTGCCATCATGCCTGGCTAATTTTTCTATTTGTTGCAGAGATGAGATCTTGCTGTGTTGCCCAGGGTGGTCTAGAACTGCTGGCCTTAGGCAGTTTTCCTCCCTTGGCCTCCCGAAGTGCTGGGGTTATAGGCATGAGCCTGCTGTTTAGATGTACTTTCTCTGGATTTATGATCTTTTCCTTCTAAAAACACTTCTGTTTGTAATTACACATTTATAAGTGTTATCATTTGATTAATACCATTTCTCCTACTAGACTATAAATTCCCTGAGACTAGTCATGCAGCAGGTGTTGAGTGAACTTGAATGAATGTCTCCAAGGCACTCTTGTTCCTCATTAATAAGAAAGAGAGGGGCTGGACGTGGTTGTTCATGATATAATCCCAGCACTTAGGAGGCTGAGGCAAGTGGATCGCCTGCACTCATGGGTTCGAGACCAGCCTGAGCCAGAGCAAGGCCCTGTCTTTAAAAATAGCCTGGCATTGTGGCGGGTATTTATAGTCCCAGCTACTTGGAAGGCTGAAGTAAGAGGATTGCTCAAACCCAAGAGTTTGAGGTTGCTGTGAGTTGTGATGCCATGGCATTCTACCCAGGGTGACACAGTGAGACTCTGTCTCAAAAAAAAAAATTGATAAAAAATAAATAAAGAGGCTTGGTGCCTATAGCTCAGCAGTTAGGGTGCCAGCCATATGCACTGGGGCTAGTGGGTTTGAACCGACCTGGGCCTGCCAAACATCGATGACAAGAACAACAAAAAAATAGCCAGGCTTTGTGGGTTGTGGCAGGTGCCTGTAGTCCCAGCTACTTAGGAGGCTGAGGCAAGAGAATTGCTTAAGCCCAAGAGGTTGAGGTTGCTGTAAGCTGTGACTCCACAGCACTCTACCAAGGGTGACAAAGTAAGACTCTGTCTCAAAAAAAAAAAAAAAAAAAAAAAGAAAGAAAGGAGGGAGGAAAGAAATAAAGAGGAATAAGCAAGGGAACCCATGGGTTATAAATGAATTTCAGATAGAAAATGCTGTGAGAGGTACTGTAATCATTGTTCTCTTCTGAACTTTTCTTGTTCTAGGAGTCGAGGATGGCCAGACTGTGAGGATGCCTGTAGGAAAAAGAGAAATTTTCATCACATTCAGGGTAGGTGAAGCTGTCCGTACAGCTTCTCTTGGGCCCTTATGCTGTTGGAGTGGTTGCAGGAGAGACTGTTCTTTTTTTTGTTGTTGTTGTTATTGTTGTTTTGAGAGAGTCTCACTCTGTCACCCTGGGGGTAGAGTGCTGTGGCATCATAGCTCATAGCAACCTGAAACTCTGGGCTCAAGAGTTCTTCTTATCTCGGTCTCTCGAGTAGCTGGGACTTCAGTTACCTGTCACAGTTGTCCAGCTAGTTTTTGTATTTTTAATGGAGACTCTTGCTTAGGCTGGTCTTGAACTCCTGAGCTCCAGCAGTCCACCTGCCTCAGCCTCCCAGTGTGCTACTAGGTGTAAACCACCATGCCCAGGCAGAGGCTGTTCTTGAAGTGAAGTCAGAGCTTGAGGGGAGAGTGTCTTGCCATTCATGTTTCTGAGCAGACAGTGGCCTAGATGTGGTTATTAGGTATTTGCTTCTAGGAAGGTGTGGAGCAAATAAAACTTCTTCAAGGTGTTTACAGGTTAGAAATACAGGACACATAAAAATATAGAAAACATCTTGTGTTTTTATTTATGTATCAAATTGTTGACAGAGGCAGTAAATGCTAAGGGTACTATTTTGCATACTGTACACAGAGGGCAGACCTTGCTTTTTTGAAATAATGGAGGCATCAGAGAAGATAGAGCCTTCTACCGGCAGTTCTACCTACGTAGGTATAGCTTATGCCAGAGTGTGCAAGATACTGACAGTGTCTTATTGTCCTTGAGCAAGAGAAGGGCCAGTGAATGTCTGTGGACGACATACTGCATGGTAGTGGGGAGAGAAGAGCCAGAGCCACCATGCTGGCATACAATATTGGTTACAAATCACAGGGGAAGAAGGCAGGTTAAAGGAGGCACCTGGGCACAGAAGACCACCTGCCTAAAGCTGCAGCATGTCAAATGCTATTGTATATTATTCAGGCACATGGAAATACACAGCAAAGGTGAAGAGATGCTTTCAGGAATGATAAATGCTAAATTCAAGGCAGTGCTTAACTGAGGAGTACAGGGAGGTTTCAGCTGCGCTGGCAGTGTTTTCTTACCTATGCTGGCTGCAAGTACACCCTGCTGGTTATATTATTTACTTTGTCTTTTTGTACATGTCAAATATTCCATAATTTAGAACAAAAACAATAGCAGTGTTAAGGGCAAATGTTCTAGGCTGGGAAAGATAAGTCACAAAGCTGGGGCCAATCTATAAGGAAAGTTTCGTAGAGAATTCAGCTATTGTTCCCATCTAAATAGAGAAAAGAAAGAGAGAGAGGGAAGAAGAAATAATTGAGGGAAGGGTGGCTCCTGTGGCTCAAGGAGTCGGGCACCGGCCCCATATACCGGGGGTGGCGGGTTCAAACCTGGCCCTGGCCAAACTGCAACAAAAAAATAGCTGGGTGTTATGGCGGGCGCCTATACTCTCAGCTACTCAGGAGGCTGAGGCAAGAATATTGCCTAAGTCCAAGAGTTGGAGGTTGCTGTGAGCTGTGTGATGCCACGGCACTCTACTGAGGGCAATAAAGTGAGACTCTTGTCTCTACAAAAAAAAAAAAAAA